GGGAAGGACACACGGACAGGCCCCACATCCCCTCCTGACCGATCCCTTGTCCCGGTACCGGTGACCCCACAGCACCCTGGGCACTGCCACGGCTCTGGCACCGCCGTGCCAGGATGGGGACGGGTGTGGGATCATCCATTCGGGATGGGAATGGGAATGGGAATGAGATCACCCATTTAGGATGAGGATGGGAATGGGATCACCCGTTTGGGATGGGGATGGGATCATTCATTTGAGATGGGGATGGGTGTGGGATCACCCATTTAGGGTGGGGATGGGAATGGGATCAGACGCAGGATGATCCATTTGGGATGGGGGCAGGATCACCCACTCAGGGTGGGGACAGGTGCAGGATGATCCATTTGGGATGGGGATGGGATCATCTGCTCGGGATGGGCGCCCCAAATCCAATCCCAACGCCTGCCTGGCCATGGAGCAGCCGCCCACCCTGTCCCACCACCGCCCCATTCCCGTTTCTCCGCTCACCATCCTCTTCCTCCAGCCGGGATGTCCCTGGAATGTCCCCAGGATGTCCCCGCGATGTCCCCGGTGCTGCTCCGACCCCGGTTGGATCCAGACCCCGAAATTCAACCCAGCCCCTCCAAAATCAGCATTTCCTCACGGAACGGAGCCATTCCTGCCTGGGCCTTCTTCCCTCCTTTCCCAGCGGGATCTGGCGCGGCCCCCGCACGCACGGATGGAGCGGGGATATCAGAGGCTCCTCATCCCGAATTTGGGGGGCTCAGCCCGGCTTTGGGGTGCTCCCCTTGTGCCGATGTCCCCTCTCTGTCCCGCTGCCACCCGAAGCCCACGGCAGCTCCGGGGACGGAGCCGCCCACGAACACCCCGGGCTCCGCTGGGGTCGGGGCGTCCCTGGAACCTTCCCGGGCTGGGATTCGCTGCCCGATCCCCCCCAAATCTCCGTGTCCCACCCCGCTCCTCCCCCCACCCCCGGGTTGGGGACACGCTCAGGGCACCCCGGGGACCCTGCTGTCCTCGTCCCCGGGCGGGTGGCAGCGGGGACAGCGCTGTCCCCAACCCCCGGGCCTCGTGGGACTCACCGGCAGCTCCGGGCTCGGCTCCAACTTTTGCCACAAGTTGAGACAAAGGCGGCGGGTGCTGTCCCCTGTCGCCGCTGTCCCCAGACAGGCTGGTGCCACCAGGATTTAATGAGGGCACGAGGGCGGTGGGCTCGGGGGCTGCTCACGCACACTCCGCGCATTAACCCTTGCCCTGCCGCCTCGGGGGGAGCCGGGCTCCCTCCTGCAGCACCCCCCGGGACCCCCAGCCTGGAGAACCGGGATAATCCCGGGATAATCCCGGGGTTCTGCATCCCCGGCGTGGGGACAGCCCCGAGGAGGAGGTGACACACGGCAAGGAGCCACCCCAGCCACGGGGGCCACCGCCACCGCCAAATGAAGGGACGGGGGGAGCCCATCCCAGTGCCGGGACGGCTGAGTCCCCATCTCTGTCCCCATCCTGGTTGTGTCCCAGTCCTGGCTCTGTCCCCATCCCGGCCATGTCCACACCTCTGTCCCCATCCCGGCCATGTCCCCATCCTGGTTGTGTCCCCATCCCGGCTGTGTCGCCATCTCTGTCCCCATCCTGGTTTTGTCCCCATCCTTGTTGTGTCCCCATCCCGGCTTTGTTCCCATCTCTGTCCCCATCCTGGTTTTGTCCCCATCCTTGTTGTGTCCCCATCCCAGCCATGTCCCCATCTCTGTCCCCATCCTGGTTGTGTCCCCACCCCAGTTGTTCCAATGTGTCCCTGTCCCACCATCCGGGACCACAGCAGCCCTGGCAGGGGTGATGTGGCTGTGCCAGCTGTGGGGTGTGGGGGTTGGAATTTGAGATTCCGGATTTGGGATTTGGGACGGCCTGGCCAGTGCTGCCGGCTGGGAAGGAGTCCCTGCCCATACTGGGCCACCTGTCCTCTGCTCTGGTCTCTGTGCCCTTGTCCCCAGCTGGTCACAGCTGTCCCTGCTCCTCCTGCCTGTCCTGCATTGCCACCTTCTCTTTGCATTCAGGTGTGCTCCATCCATCCATCCATC